TCTCACTGGATTATGGTATGTACCTGGGAAAGGGGACACCTGAAGTTTGATCCCTGTTCCTATTACTGTTTATGAATTGTATCTCATGCCTGTTTAATGCATAAGCTGTCCACTTGTCTGTTAAACCACTCCTGTAGTATCAGCCCACTGTTCACTCCCCTATTTATTGACTTGGCCTGCCTTGCCATTAAAAGAATGGATTGCATAGGAGTACAAGGCAGATGAGATGGGAGGATATCACTTTGCACCCAAAAGATCCAATATCATGCTATGCTAACTGGTCCAAGAGATCCTGAAAACAGTGCTGCTGCTGCTGCTAGAGACGCATCCATCTCTATGCGCTTGGCTTATGCAAAAGCCTATGTATCACCCAAGTCATAATGTTGGGTATAGCTGGTGTTTAGGTGTTTGTGTGCACCATCTACCCTGAGCTGACTTTCAATCTGTATCCATTTGTATGTGGTTTTATTTATTTGCAATATTGCTTTCATTTTCTTCTGCTCCCCAAGTCAAAGGGTTTCACCCTGTTATTGCTGCTTCTATTGGGTTTCTTTAGCCTTGTCCTCCAGATGTTTCTCTGGCACTGGAAATGTCAGTCCTGCCTGTCTTTAGAAATAAGTGGAAATAAGCCCATCAAAGAAAGCTTGAACATTCACTGATTTATGTATCTTTTCATCACTGAGCTTAGGCTAAAGGGGAAAAAAAGGACAGGGCTGTTTCAGCTAGCTGCTGCTTTTTGGCATGCAGTGCTGCAAAATCAGTATTAAACGCATGCCTTTTTGCTAGGTAGAGTATAGTACTGCCACGTAACAGGAAAAAAGGGTTCAAACAATAGAGGGCCTGGAGCTTCCAGCTGTGGAGAAAAACAACTGGCACACAACTTTTAATTTTTCCTTTTCTTTATTTTTGTAAAGCTTAAAAATGTTACATAGCCACAAACTAGGCATGTTGGTTAGAAGTGAAAGCACAAGATGGTGATCTGCATGAAAATGAAAAGCAGTTGATTATACAGTTCACAGAAATGTATCTTAGTCACCGATAGTGAGGTCAGAAATAAAGGTTCTCCTTAGGTTTATGGGGGAAAAAACCTTTTGCATGGGGCCATGTGAAGTCACCAGATTCTAGATGCGTCTCCCCACAGGAATTTTAGTGAGGGAATTCTGCTCAAAAACAGATGGACTGATACAACCTTTGGAGAAAGTATAATGCCAAATAATTCCTTCTTCTTTTCAGTAATGTCAAGAGACTGATTTCTCCTGTAAAATGTGCAGGATTTCTGAACACATAGGCACTGGGCATCATTATACATTTATTTTTTAAACATCTTTCACAGCAGCTGCTAGTGACATAGAGACATTTCTGTTTTACTGAACTGAGTTAAAGGTACTACAAGGAAGAGGTGATCTGCATTCTCAGGGTATGGTTACACTGCGGCTCCTGTGGAGATCCCTCAGCTGGCTTTGAATGTAGAACCAGGGTAAAGAGCCGGGGGGGAGGGAAGGGGGGGTGGTTACCTTGTGTTGAACCGCATACTATTATCATTACCTGACCTAGCTTGTTTAAAGCTGGCTTAGCTATATCTCCAAGTGCTTCAGGCTTGCTTTCGACTGTAGACATAGTTTTGCTCCAGTTGCCAGGGTGGATCCAACTGAATCCTCTTTCCTTCCTTGTGCTCCTGAGAAAAACAAGGATGGTCAAGACTTCCACCCAGTCATTAACTCTGAGGTTTGCTCAGAGGCTAAAGCTAACAAGAACAATGAACCAATACAGGGTAGTTGCCCTTATTGAAATCAATGGCAATTTCCTTGAACGAAGGCTTAAGGATTGGGTTGGATGAAAATATTGTGGCCTAGAGTACACCTCTAGTAATGCCAAGTCTTAGGCTGAGCTTGACAGGTTCTGGTGTCTAAAGAAATTTTAGGGCATGTCCATCAGCCTCAGCATGGTGAGAAGGCGTGTGCAGAGCCAGCACAGCATGTTTCAGCTTGGTTTTTCCTGGCATTACACTCAGGTGGTACAGACATGGCCTTAAAGTCTTGAAAGGCTCAACCAGGAAAGAACGAGCCCTCCACGTCCATCGCATTACGTGACTTTATTCAGCAGAGTTGGTCTGGGTGCTAGGTGGTTTGGACTGTCTACATTGGGTTACTCAGTCAGTGCTTCTAGTTGCAAGGCAAGCTTTGCTTTGAGGAGAGCTTTGCTTTACCCACTTTGGGTAGTGCTAGTGCGGTACTATCAGTGCAGGGTCCTGAAGGGATAAGTGCAAGAGTTTCTCTTCTTGCATTTTGAATTGTGCCACTTGCTGATACTCTCTTGTGCTGTGCATGCTTTGAGCCACATCGTCTGACTGTGTCCATATCCATTTTCTCTGTGGGAAGGCATTGGGTCTATTGTTGTGGAGTAGGAGTGTCTTCCCTGGGAAGCTTGGGATCCAAAGTATAATCCAGGCAGCAATGGTTAAGTCCTGCTTAAGAAGCCATGGGTCAGAGCCTCAGTATAAATTGTCTCTATATCAATCCAAATCCTAGCTCCAGTGAAGTTAATGGCAAAACTCTCTTCCACTTCCACATGGCCAGGATTTACCACACTGAATTCAGTGGAATAATGATTTATACCAGGTGATGATCTGGCCCTATCACTTGACATTGAGCCTATGTTGTACATGACATTGAGCACGTTTCTGATTTTCTTCTATTTAAGGGATGTTTCTGAGGAGGATTAGGACATGTTGACAGAGCGGGTTTAGTGTCCTGACAGCTCCGGACGTGTGCCACAGGCTGTTCCTCCTCCGCCAGGCCTGGTCAGTTCAGCTGTGAGTGAGTACTGGGCTAGGAGGAGAGGCAGCTGGCTGCCATGTTCCCACAGAAACTGGTGTGTCCTAACAGGCTTTCCAGGGTTAGATGGACCATGAATTTAAAAAAGTTGTAGGTAAAAGCAGCTCTGGCAGTACAAGGAGCCCATGAATTTCCTTGAATGTAGCCAGCTGTGGCAAGACGATAACAGCAACCACCGATAGGACTTAATTTCTGTACGGAAATAAAACTTCCATGGATTACTGTATCTTATTACTCCTTGTTTATATCACTGTCCTCCAGGACAGCTGTTATCCAGATTAAGCACATTTTCTAACCTCCAGTTTTTTTCCAGAAAAAGATTCCATTGCAATTAATACAATGCTGTTATTGGCTGGTTCATTGTGTGCTGCATATTTACAGCATATGATTGCTCCTTAGTTTCTCTGACACATGCACACGAGACTTTGGTTATAAACATATGGCCTGCTCCTTCTGCCATTAGAGTCAATGACAGAACATCCAATGATTCAATCAGAACGGGATGGGACTGGGGGAATGTAAAAGAGCCACATCATCAGTTTAAACTACGAGGCCAATAAAAATAAAGCTGGAGCGTTACCAGCCCTGGAGCTGAACTGATGAAAGTATACAGGCTTGAAAGTAAGAATTGCTACTCAATAGCAGCTCTCAAAAACCCAGGAAAAGACTGACTCGAAAGAAAAGTGGCATCAAAGGAAAATACCAAAAGAGAAGATTAACAAATAGTTCTTCCTCCTTTATTAATAAATCTTCTACCCCTAAGGGTATCTTTAATGCAAGAAAAAAATCCTTTTCTCGTTATCACTTCTGAAGATCAGTGTAAACCAAAACAGGGGCAAATAGGGAATAGGGAAATGGTGTTGTCTGGGTGGCTCAGACCTGCAGTGTGGTCTCCAGCAGTAACCAGCACTACTTTTCTTATGGTTTTACCCTATTCCACATTTGGGGCTTTGTCCTACACCCACCACACACCTTTGTAACCTCATCAGAATAGGAGCGAAGCATGTAAGGATTGGGCCCTAAATCACTGCAGGGGCAGCTGGTTACAGGAATGTTCTGGAAAAACAGCACAAGCAACGAACCAGTGACAGCTTGGCGAGGAAACCTTCATGTGCAAATACCGCTTGGGATGCAAAATATGCAAATATACCTGTGAATCAACCTACTGGGAAGGAGACCACAAACCAGAGATGCCAAGGAGCCTCTTGGCAGCCTCTTCGGATGCTGCAAAACCAGCCGGTGAACTGAAGAAAGCTGCAAATAACCCCGACAAAGTACATTTCTGTATTTATTCAGCTGCTACCCGATTGGAAAGTCAGACGTGAACAATGAGGCCCAAAAGCGGTATGTTTATCATGGCCATGTGACAAAGTGCGTACAGCCAAAAAAAAGGAAAAAACTGTACACATACACACACATACGCACACGCATATACATACACACACACACAGTATCTAGGTATCTCTCTACCATCTCCCCACAAAAGTTGCTCTCCCTTAATTCCTCTCCTTTCCATGCCAGCGGCGCCCGGCGCGGTCAGGCCGGCTGTGCCCGGCGCTGTACAGACATTGCCCTGCCACCGAGTCACTCGCATCACCGAGCCGTGCGCGCCGTGGGCGGGGGCCCGTCCTGCACGCGTGGGGGCGCGGGCCGGCCTCGCTTCTTGCCCCCCGGCACCCTCGGGTGCAGCCTTGAGGCGAGCCAGGGCGCGG